ATACTTATAATCGCATAATTTGAGAGGTAAAGTCAGGATGATCCGAAGTTCAAGGCTAGCCTTGACCACATGAGCTCCTGCCTTTAAGAAAAAGTAAGTAAATTTGCTTTTTTTTCAGGTCCCATTCTGGTCAATAAAATAAGTATATCTTTGATTAGAAGGTTTTGATTCTACTGAATGGGCATGTGAGTGTGAACACAGACTAATGGATCTCTTTGCATATAAAATGTAGAATGACTTAAAATACCTTGGTTATCAAATTGTATTACTTATATTTGGCTCTTTGAAGAAAAGCATTTCTCCTAAGAAAGGGCTTCCTCGGAGAATAGTTAGAAAATTAATTAGAGTATAAGCTTTGCAATAGCTTAATCCATGACTGTTGTGTCATGCTGCATGGTGTGTATTTTAACCTAGATAGCAAACTGACTCGGGAGCTTTAGACACTCAGTAATGTGAGTGAATTCATAGTCACAAGTCTCTCTGTCCAGTATGACTGGAAGCTTGTTTGTTTTCTGAATGGAGTTGAGATCTTAATGCAAGAATAGCTACAGGTCTTCCAGGTACTTTTCCATTAGTTCCTACTCATAGCATACATTTTTTCATGCCTGTTTTCTTTCAGAGTCTCATGTAAGCCAGACTGGTCTCTGAACTCCTGCCTCTAAGTCCTAAATGCTGAAACCAGAAGCCTGTTGCACCACACCCTGCTTGATTTTTTTTTCCTTTCACTGAAGAAAACTTATTCTAGGAAACATTAAATGCCTCAATATAGAGTTAGTGTAATCCAGAAACACTTATCTAAAAATTATCTCATCTTTCTTTTTTTGCACTCCAAAGTAATCTTTAAGTCCAATTTTGAGATAGAATAGAGGATGCAATATGGAATTACCATTAATGAATCGTTGATATATTTTATCTCATTCTTAGTTTACTGCTTTAAATGTCTGCTTCGCACCGCCTCATTTTAAAAATAGAGCAGGACACTGAAACAAGAAACAGATTATGTCTATCTTGCTAACTACAGCTGGTGACATTCTGTTGCAGACGTTGTGGGGGCAATGGCATGCTTTGGGAATAAACTGAATTTAAACCACAAGTTCTTCCGTCATTTCCATGCCTTTTCTTCATTGCCCACACCTCTATTATGTATACCATCACAGGATAGTGATAGAAATAGTAATAACAATTGACATGTCACCTCCTGCCTCTCCATTAAGAACTGATGAAATATTTTCAGAGAAAAACAGAAACTTTTAATAGTTCTGTAAATTAAAGAAAAAAATCCAAAGATTGGTGACAAACTCCAGGGAGAATTTCATTAGCAAGAGTAGATTAAAAAGCAGTCTTGAATGTCATGTTATTTATTCCACTTTCTGAAACTAGCGGAAGCAAAAAATAGCCAAAGGGAGGAGGAAAAGACCTGCACCTATGTCTAAAGAGACTTGCCGACAGGCAGCCATCTCATCAAGCAACCGGAGTTCTCAGTTTCCCAGTAGCCCACTTAACGTCCATCTTCCCAGATCAAATCAGAGACTAGTGGGTCCCAAATACATAAAGTAAGGCAAGAAATAGAGAAGGCTTGGAAGAGACATATAGTAACATCCACAGAGAAGTGGGGGAGCCGCCAATACCAAGATGGCTGAAACCTACACAGGAAAGAGCTAATGACACATGTTCCTTTGGCTTCTTGTTCAGAGAACCCTTCCGAGATAGTCTGAGTTCAAACCCGCTAAGCCCAATGAGGAGGGTGTTTGTTAGGCATCGCTTTTGAAATCAAGCTCTGAGTACATTCATCTTTATTTGAAGTTCAGGTGGCTGAAAAACCCATCTACCCAGTTTGCTGCCAGGTGCCAGTCGTGTTGAGTTTCTTTCCATCTTGGTAATGAGTATGAGGTTAAAAACAGGCTGTGGGTAGAGGAGGGCTGTGAAAAGAGGAGTCAAAATAAAATGTTCTCTTGAGATTTAGAAGCAACACCCAGTTTTGAAAGTGACTGCTGCCTAACAAGCAGATGAAGTCAAGGCATCTGCTTTGTCACCTGAAAGGGAACAGTCAAGATTGGCCCTGAATAGTGTAGAACAAACTGAACCAAGGCAATAAATTCAGGACTTGACTGACATAAGGAAAGATTAAGAAACCTAGAATGGAACATATGAAGAGCAAATTGATTACATTTGAATAATCCACAGCTTTTGAATAATTCACTCACTGAATGGTCACTAAATAGCAAATATCTACTGTGTGCCTGATCCGGTAGGTATTGGTGACATAATGCTGAGCCAAACTGATTAAGCAGTTATGAAAGGTACACCTGGAAGATTCAAGGTTTACAGTGGAAATTACTAGAAAGGTTAGAGTAGAAACAGTATTTAAGGTTATTAGAAGAAATTCTGAACATCAGTACTTTTCAGATATTAATTCAGACCTCAAACACATGGATTTCTTCTAGAATATAGACAGATGATTTCATTCTTTTTTACTTCAAGGAAAAGAAATGATCTAAGAAAATTAAGGTATAAAAAATAAGGTATCTAGTTATCTAAGGTATAAAAACTATATTGGACATAGGCTTCTTTTCTCAAAACCAGAGACCACTGTGGCATTCTTTGCTCCCTGTTTAGAGCCTTCTGTGCTGTCAGTATAATTTATGTTAGAAAACAGCAGGCCTTCATGGGACGGGGGAAATGCACGTGTTTGGGATATAGGGAGAGAGGCCAGGTGACAACCTCAGGTGTCATTCAATCAGATGCCATCCATTTTGTTTACTGTAGAGAGGTTCTCTCACTGGCATGGAGTCTTCACGTAGGCTAGGCTGGCCTCAGAGATATGCCTGTCTCCACCTCTCTAGTGTGAGCTTCCAAGCTCATGCCACCACACCTTACTTTTTGCCATGGGTTATGAGGACCGAATTCAAGGCCTCCCTCATACTTGAGTGGCAAAGCACTTTATCAACTAAGCTATCTCCCCAGCGTGAGCAAGCCTTCTTTTAAATCCTCTCATATTTTTTTCTCTTGAAAAAAAAATAGCTATTATATGGATTTCTTGCAAGACATTTCAGTCTTAATAAGCATATAGATTTCCAATGCTGTTGATGTGAGTGGCACCTTCTGCGTTTTGCTACAAGCATACAGAAAATCTGTAAGAATGCAAGATTCGCTTCCCCCAACTTAATTGATCCTCCCTTCTTCTCTCCATCTCTCCCTCCCTTCCTTCTTTCTCACATTTTTCTTTTAGTCTCACACATGCTAAGCTTGCTCTCTACCACTAAGCCACATCTCAAGCCATCCCATAAATTTGTGTCTGCCCACTTGCTGCATGGCTGAGGGTGTTCACATAATAGGAAAATAGGTTAGTGTCTCACAGAGATAGATTTGTGAAGGAACCAAAACTAATGCAAATCAAGTATTTAAATACATGAAAACCATTGTAGAAAAGGGCTTTTAGTAAATGTGAAGCCACTGAATATGTAAATAAGTTGACATAATAGCCTGTGTGCATATAAGCTGTGTTAGGCTTAACAGCCAAAACCTGTTCTTAGTTTTGTTCAGCCAAGTAACAAGAAAGCCAGGATTTGGAACTTCATATTAATGTGAAAGTTTAAGGTACCAGTAATTTAAAGTAGTTCTGGCATAAGAATAGATAGGTCAATAGCCTACACCAGACAAGAAAGCTCTGAAAGTAACTTCAGAATTTGTAAGGATGCTAAAATACAACAGTTACAAATCATCACTAAAGGGGACTGGGAAAATTGATTCAGCATTTAGAAATTATATTAAATCTGAAGCTGCTCACTTTCACGTTTACTAAAGTAAATTAGAATTGGTTAAAGATTTATGGAATGAAATCATTAAAATATCAAAATGCATAAATATGAATGAATAACCATGTTTGAGTATGGACTTATGGCACAAAAATGATGAACATAACTTACAAAGGCCAGTTATATCAGAATTGATCTTGTATTATACTTTACAATAATAACCTTCAGTTTGGCAACAAGTTTTCACCCATGCATCAGTAGAAACAAACAGACAACAAATAAATATCCTTGGTAGAGTTCATTTTATTTAACAGATAATAGAAAATTTTTCTAGTGAGGGCCAGCAAGATGACCTAATGAATAAAGATCCTTGTTGCCAAACTGAACAAGCTGAGTTTGGTCCTTGGCACCTCCGTGATGAAAATAGAGAACCAGCCCTCATGAGTTGTCTGATCTGCACATGTGTTGTGGTATGCATCCCCATCCCCAACTCCCAGTGGATAACCAAATGTAGTTAAAAACCTTACCTGCTGTTAACATTGCATTAAAAATAGATTCGTTTAAGTAATGATAAACTGTTTTGGCCCTGGCTGTGAGCTGGACATTATACATTGCTTAAGGGAACTGTGAAAGTGATATGTGTGATTGGGTATGTCATGTTGGCAGTATGTCTTAGAAACCTTCAGCATGCGGGGCCTTTGAGCCATATATAACACTATATCCAGAGCATTTGCTCTGGAAGTGAAGATGCCCCTATTGGAGGATGTTCATTGATAGCCTGTTTAAATAACCATCTATTACAAATGGAGCTTAAACAGTTATTTACCAACAGATATGAATGTTACTTATGCAATATGAAGTGACATGCACAATATATAACAAACCATACACTATTATGATTCCAAGTTGGGAAAAAAATTCTGAAGGGAATATACCAAACTGTTATATTAATAGTTCTGGATGTCTTCTTTGTTTTATTTCTTTTACAACCTGTATTTTGAAGACATTAACAGTTCAGATTTATGCTTCCTGCATATCATGGTAGTGTCTGTTCTTTACCTCTTATCACTCCCCTTTCTTCTCTATCCTTGACAATGTCTTCAGGGTGATAAGAGAGGATTTTGAAACAAAGAAATAGTGGATGGAGATGGTGATGTGTGTCTTTGCCCTGCTTTCTCCAGATAATTGGGATCCCCAGCTGGGACTGGGGAATGATTCTTACCTCTGCTTCTTTTTCCTTTCCAGGAAACACATGAAATTGTGGCAATCAAGAAATTCAAGGACAGTGAAGGTATGTATGCAATTTTACATCTGTAATTCTTTTGTAAATACAATGTGGGACAGGTAGGATTTAGTTGGTTAGACCCTAGTCTTGTGATTTTAATATCATAATCTCAGGAGTGACTGTAACTTATTTATCAGCCTGCTTTACTTTGAAATACATGGCATTAGAACATCTATTTTAATTTACAATCAGGGTTGGACATTTTGCTCCAAAGGCTAGACAGACATCTTCTTAACCACGTTTGCCTGTAATCTATGTAGATTCCAATGGAATGCTGAGTAAAAGCAAATGCATCTGGAGTTTGCACAAGTAGTGAGTGCTGAAAAAGATTCAGCATGTGGTCACCATGTTCTCCAACTCCTAGGCACAGCAAGAAATACAAGGCTAAGTGGGAGGTGGTATAGAGATGAGAACGTTTTATATTTAGGACCATTTATTGAGAGAATAAAAGCTTTTCAATAAGAAATACCATATTTGGGGGTCTTGAACACACTTCTAGAGTGTTTCAAATGGAGTTTTAAAATTCTCTGCTGGGCAAGAAAGTTTCAAATAAAATACTTTACTAGTGCATTAGTTTGGAAACCTTAGCTGTTAACTCTCATCCAGACAAAGAAAGGCTGGTAATGAAAGTCCACATGGCTTTTGAGGAGCTTTAGGCAGCAGTTCTTTACAATTTTTAGTACAGAGACCCCAGTAAAAATACTTTCTAAATCCTAGCCCAGTTTCCATATACATATAATGAAGCAAAACTCTCACAGAAATCTTGTGTTAATGAGATTTTCTGTTTTCTGCTTTCCCTGGCTTATGGAAAATCTTGAAAAAAGTGCATTGTGACATTGAGTTGCAACCTACCATATGAAAAACAGATAAAAAGTACCAGCGTTAGCCTCTATCTAATGTGAAACCTGAAGATAGACAACATAGCCTGGCTTCCTTGGTGCACATTGACTACGCACTTTAAACACGTGCTTCTATATTTAGGGAGAGTCACATCACCTTCACCTCAGATATTTAGAAAGCATGAAATAACAAAGAGGGCTTGCTCACAAAAGCCTCCTAGGATAGCTTCCACAGCATTATGGTTAGAACTGGACTATGATGGTTTACTGATGTGGAGCGCATGCGTATTACCCAGGACCCTGAGCAGCCATTGTGAGGACATTCTTAAAGGAAGGCACTGGGAAGTGCTTCGTAGCTTGGAACTATGTGCCTGGGATCTAATGGAAGCAGTTGCCAATGTCTGACCCACTGTGAGACCATTGGAAATAGGCTCGTTGAGCAGTGACTTTAGACTAATGACAAGCAATCCAGAGACGAATGATGGATGATCTAAAAAGAGTGCCTGCAGCGGAAGATCCAAGCACCACCTTTGCATGTGTGCGGAGACTTCTGACTCTGTATTCACCTTTAAGGTTGCATTGGCAAGCTGAAAGATAGAAATTGTCAGCTGATCTTCAAAAACAAATGTTTTTTGTCATAATGTCTCATGTAGCCTAAGCTTTCTTTAGCCTTTAAGAGAGCCTAGGCATCTCTTAAAGCCCTGAGAGATGTAGTACTGTCTTCTGTGTATGGCTTTGCCCTGTTCCTCTAGCAAGAATACTGCCTTACTTAATAGAAAGAAATGGTACATGTCTGGTGACCAACTTTTTGGAGTCTGAATTATACATAAATAGTTTCATATAGATAAGATTGTCTTTTGAGCTCCTTTGTAAACTACTATAATTCAAAATTTCTTTTATTATATAAATTTCAACCAGGTCTATTATAATAAAAAATGAGTGTTCAGATAATATTGTTCTCATTGTCTCGTAGCCCTCAACCATCCTTTTTATTAGTTACTAAGAAAATTAGTATTATAATTATTCTAAATTATTCTAAAGCAAACATTTCCAAATCTTTGAGAAAATAAATGAAGTAATTCTATAAAAAGCAATGTTAAACTTTAGTTGAAATGGGACCTGTGCTTGGTCTGACTACCATTCACATTAATGTTTCTTAATAGTCTCTAGCTGATGATATACAGGGAGTATGTTTGAGAATATGTACCACCCTCTGGTTGCTTTAAAGAGTTTAATAATGTTTTACTGTCCTGTTAAGATGATATGGATCCAAAAATTTGTGTATATTTTTGAAATATTTTCTTTTTAAATTTAATTTAAATAAATGTTTAATTTAATTAATTTACTAATTAATTAAATAAAAATGTATTTAATTTCAAATTTAAGTTAAAAATAAAGTATATTATTGTTTTATTTTGAAACATATTTTCAAGTAGACCACTTTTCGTGCAAAAGATCTTCATTGTTCCAGAAAAACTGATTGCTATTTAAAATAAGACCCAAATTTTCATCATAAATAAAAGACTGAATTTATGAAAATAAGTTTGCTTTATAGTAAATAAAATTTTAATCACAATAGCAGCTGCATGCTAGTTTTTAATATCTTAGAATTGGATATCATCTTTAAAGCAGGAAAGTCAGTTTTTAGAGTAAAATTGCATTCTAGCTCAAAATATAGCAAAAGGCTGTGTCAATTTTCACCCTTTTAATATGTCTGTCTTCATGTTTCAGTTTTTAAAATTGTTTTAGGATTATTTTTACTTTGTATCTACGAGAGCTTTGTCTACATGTATGAATGTATACTATGTATGTGTCCAGTGCCCATGGAGATAGGAACAGGACATTGGATCCCCTAGAACTGGAGTTATGGGTAGTTGTGAACTACCATGTGGGTGCTGGGAATCAAACTGGGGTCCTTCAAGAACAGTAAATGTTCTTAACCTCTGAGCCATCTCTCCATCCCGCACACGCGCACACAGACACATACACACTTTGTCAAATCTTAGAGCCTAGCACCTTTACCAACCCTGAGGCATCTCACTGGTCTTGGGTCATCATTCTTATATAATTACATAAACCAAGTTTATTGAGCAATCCAGGCGTACCAATTTAAACTAGATGGTTTTGGAATATCTATAATAACAAATACTGTCTATTAAAACTTAAGGAGAACATGTAGTCAGAATTTATTTTTATTACTTATATTTTGACCCTCCTTTTAATTCTTTGGACTGTGACCTTTCTTTGATGAATGAAAAATTCTCCTTACTTCCCACGTGGCCTCAGTACATTACTAACTCCACTGAACTGTGCAGCTCTCCATGTTTAATTGCGGGGCAGGGTGAGGTGGTACTAAGTCATTTCTCTGCTTTTATATCAAATAAGATTGCTGGCATTTTGTTTTTTGTTGCTTCTTTCCTATAGATAAATGTTTTTCTCTTGAAATGAGTGTATTTATTTCTTTAATTATTATGAAATGTTTAGGTAATCATCTAGTCTTCCCTCCAGTTGATTCCATTCTTATTTTTACTTAGAGACTCGAAAACTTTACACTGCTCTCGCATTTTGTTGGATGCTATACAAAAAAGAATTCATGGATTCTCAAATTCAAGACCCTGAATTCTGTATATGAGAGGGCTTGAAACAAAATTTCCAGTATTTATTCTATAAAGAATGTGATGAAATGAGCTGCGCACCCTAGCTACTCTGGGTCTATCACACTTCCTTTTAATGCCCAAACCAGAGCTCTTTCAAACCTCAGGGATTCTTGCAAGATTTGGCTACATTTCTGCACTTTTTGTGATTTCATAAATTTTCTCTGTTCTTTACCTTGTCCTCCATCTCTAAAGACTGAAGGGGCTTTATCTTTTTTGGTACATAAAACAGTAACATCGCCATTCAAACCTCTGTGGCCACATTGATTGTCCTGCTGCTGCTGTCCTGTCTTCAATCAGAGCAACCAGAATCAAACATGGTGCCCCTATGGTTTTGTTCAAGGATGGATTGACTTTTCTTTTTTAATACATCTGCTTAAAGGTCTGTTTTGGGGGCCTCTTTAGCTATACAAAGATGTCAGGTTTGTGATTTCATAAAGTAGGTTACAGCTATTCCTGGATTTCTTTTCCAAACCCACGGTTCTTTAAAAATAGGGTTACAATAGAGTTTCTGCTGATCTTTAGATTTTTCTTTTCATCGCTGACTTATCTTTGAATTTCTTTTGCCCCTGTGAGCTTTCTTCTTAAAAAAACTGCTTTTATTTTAGTGACTCTCCTGATTTTTAGGTGTGTTAACTCGACTCAATGGTAAGCCTACAGAAGTAGGTCAGATTTTTGTTTGTTCTTACTTGGCATCTTTTTTGTTCATGTCACTTTGTCCTTACTAGGTTGGATTGTATACTTACTGCACATAACTTTTCCATAGTTGCTCTTGACTTTGACAACCCCCTCCAATGGTAAATGTTTTTGTTTTGTTTGAGACAGGATATTGCTATGTAGTCCAGGATAGCCTGAAATTAAATTTTCATCTTCATCTTTTTTTCGTTCAGTCTCCAGTCTCTCTTTCTCTCTCTCTCTCTCTCTCTCTCTCTCTCTCTCTCTCTCTCTCTCTCTCTCTCTCCTCCTTCCTCCCTCTCTCTTCCCTATCCCTGTCTTTTTCCTCTTCTCTATATTTTGATAAAGGATCTTGCTCTGTAGTCAAAGCTGACCTAGAACTCACTGTTTAGCCAAGGGTGCCTTTCAACTTGTAGCAGTCCTCCTGCCTCAACCTTCTGAGTGCTAGGATTCCAGATGTGAACCACTTTGCTTGGCATTCTTTGGTCGTGCCTAATGATGAGATTGGTTAGCATTCCTATAAACAGGTATAGAAACATTGACTTTTAGAACTAGGAGAAGCCTTTAGAATAAACCAATGTAACCACAGTCTGAATTTATAGGTCAAGAGCTGGCATGTGTTTCTGAAGACCCGGGAGCTGCACTGACTGTTTCTCCCAGCATACTATGTTCTTTGGCTGTGTGGCTTTAGCAGCCAAATAGTTGGGTCAGAGAACAAAGGCTAAGTGTCAGCCTAGATGTCTTGAGTCACTCTCCAAAGCTCACTGTGATTTCCATACCATCGAAGTCCCGATGTTCAACACAGGACATGAGGTTGAATGTGACTCTACTCTGTGCGTCCTGAGAGTTACCTATCCTTTTTTAGCATTAAGTTCTCTACTTATGAACTGGAGAAAATAGCATATGTAGCACATTAGGATTATCTTAGCTAGTGATTTGGGGACGGGAGGGTGGAGGATGTTGATTTTTCATGGATTGTGCTGTGATTTTTAATGCTTTGCTACTTTCTGCTTGTTTTAGAAGAAGGCCAAGTGTCGGTAGACTGTACATTACCTTTCTCTATCCTCTCGTCATGCATTTCCGCAATTTTCACCATCAAGTGTAAGGCAGGTTAGAAACCTTAAAAGTACTCACAGAAACAAAATTATAGGACGTTCCAGGTAATGATGAGTGCACAGTTTGCGTGCACTTTGGGAATTAATAACTCCATTTCCTGCCTCTTCCCAATCATTACTGTATGAATGCTCAGGTACTTGCTTATGGCTGCCATAAAGGAGCCTCATTTCCTCAAAAGGCAGCTCAAATGAGGTTACTTTTGCACAGTACGCCACATGTGATATTCTCATGTGCCTCCCCACCCCCAATCTCTCTCTCTCTCTCTCTCTCTCTCTCTCTCT